GCGCTGTCTTAGCAAAACTAGGCTGCAACACCGGCCCCGGCGAAGATACGGAATCTCTTTCGAGACAACATCGTAGGACGACATGTTGAGCAATGCGAAGGTTTCTCAACCAAACAGTATGTATGCCTCTACAAAAGTTTTCCTCACTTTTTGTGGTAGGTTTTCTATCTCCAATTCATAGATACAATACTTTTCTGTATGAAATGTTTCGATTTCGATCCCAGGTACCCGGAAATGATCCAAGGAAAGTTCTGGAGTCATGAAATGTGGAAAGCACGGGGCTCTGCAACGCTGCTACCCAAGATGCTTTTTGATCGCTGGTTCGGCTCTCGTCTCTTGCCAGGGGCGCCAAATGCGACGGGCTTGGATCGTTAATGCCGCCACCCACCAAATGGCACATGCCTTCACCGATAAATCGCTCCAAAGACTCCTGCTCAGAGGCGCCCGCTAGAATCAATTCAGGCCACTCCTAAGGCACACCCTTGCTACATTCATACCATTCGTGCATACCCGATCTGGATCAGAACCGCCACACAAAGAAATTGACTACTCCGGCAAGGGACTCCAACTATCACCGCCAGAACCCCTGAGTCTGGAAGTCTGTGCAGGATGTGCGCATGACCTGGTGTCTCACGAGCTCTGTCTCCGGTCTTGAAAGCACTTGTCTCTCCGACCTAAATCAGGTAGTGACCATCAAAAAGCCAGAAGACAGATGGGGAACCCTGACCGGCGCGGTCGCTTACTGCTAGAATCCCTGTGTCAAAAAATGAGGCCTCGCCTGAGCACACCGTGCAAAGCCGCAGGGCCGCATTGTCTTCAAGACGCTCAATCAGGCCCACTTCTCTCAAGACATTTTCCCTGAAGCAAGCGCAGTGGAAGTACACATTGTTTGGACTACGTGACAGTGACCGACTGCCTAGTGGCCCACATACACGGGAACCTTCTGAAAAAAGCATTCATAGCCTGAGAACCAAGTTTATGTTCTCACTGCTGCCATTTTGCCTTGGTCCTAGATTAGTTTTGCGTTGAATAGAAGCTATAAATAGTTACCAACAAAAATGCATTGCACTGGCTTTCTAGCGTCACAGGCATGCACAAGCAAGTTTTCCTATCCCCTTATCCCGCTGTCTCCGAGTGGCTGACAGTGCGAGTTTGGGTCCGGATTCGATCCGACCACAGTCTTGCACAAGCAGCACAAGCGCTGGTTGCTAGGCATGGCTGGCATTCTAGTCAGCGTACTATTCCTATCTCTGTCTCACTGGTTTGGAGCATGTACTGTTGTGCGTGGCCTATTCAGCCTATTCCTTGACCTGGAGCACGAATGGTCGTGCGCACGTTTTGACAACATCCTTCTAAGAAGTCCTAGATGTCTAGACATCGGCCAAGGCAAGCCTGGGAGCCAAAGAACCCTAGATGTAATGGCACGCTGTCATTCTACCATTGCTTTTATGGTAACTCAGGCAATGATCTGGCTATGACCCAGCGAACTGATCTGGATTCATGTTGAACAGCACACGCGACGCAAGTCCTTTAGGCGCCCCATGCGGACTTCAAGAGCCAGATGGACTGCGAGCACCTTAGCTCTGCTGCCGGATAAAATATGCAGACATGTAAATGTAAACCAAAGTACTTGTCACGCAAGATATTTGTTTTACATCTGCACACGCGCAAGCGCCCTGATGCCTGTATGCGCGCGTGATGTGCGCATACTCCCTGTGCGCAGTCATGCGCGCACTGCGCGACGCGCGCACTAGTGCCTTGAGACTGCGTTTGCTTGCATCAGCTATGTCCAAATTTTGGTACTACAAGATATAATACATGTTCCTTGAACATTATTTTTTGAGAAAAGAATAGATTTAGATACAATCATGTGTGCGCGCACCAATGCATGCACAGTGCGCGCATAGTCCTGGGCGGTCATGCATCGTTTGCTTGTTGTTGGGCACTTGCTTGTATCAGCATCTATATCACAAAAAGTTATAGTGACGGTGAATGTGCTACGCTATTGTCAAGCTCTTGTTGTGTGACGATGTTGCGCCCTCTTACGCGCGCAGGCATTCACTTGTTTGGCCACTTGCTTGCATCAACTTCTATATTAAGGTAAAGAATCCGTAACCGTTTTGCGGTATTGTTGAAACATGCCTCCGCGTGCGCGATGCGCATAGTCCCTGCGCGCTCTTAAGCGCGCATGCATTCACTTGTTTGGGCGCTTGCTTACATCAGTTTCTACATTGACGGTATATAAGCAATAAATGCGCTACGGTACTATTTTGGTTAATTTTGTAACAATCATGCGCGCGCGCATTATAATGCCTGCATGCGGGTCTGAATGGACGCCGTGTCTGAATGCATACACATATGTATTGCGTATGTCTGTACATATGTATGAGTTTGTTATGGTGGCTGTAGCTATGAAACAGTATTTCATTCAATGACGCCGCGTCTGAACATTGATGACTCAAAACAATCTAGACGACGCCCGCCCCTCTCTGCAAAAAAAAAACATGTACAAATTGCCTTCATACAAGTGTTACAAACCGGGCAGCGCAGCAAAAGTCTCTAGACAGGCATCGTAAAAATGCAAGACTTTCAGCGATGGATATTCCAAAGACATGTCCTGCGCTAAGTTCCACAAAATCTAGGGCCTGCCTATTTGAATAGGATGTGCCTTGATTCATTTGCGCCCCATTAGCTACAAAACAGGATACCCTCACCAAACGTTCGAGCAGCTGCGCATCCGACCTCTCACCCATCCTACCAAGCTGGGAACTATAAGAACGATAGCAGGTGCGCCGCCCTTGTTTTGCAAGATGTAGGGACAAGCCATCCGTGCAGGACTCTGCCAACAGGCTCCCCTTCTCCCCCCTCTTCCTTAGCTGTTCCACAGCCCCGCACCAAACTTGAAACCAGGGAGCAGCCGCTCCTGACACCCAGCAAGCTGCTCCAACTAAACAAGGAGTGTATATATATATATATGACACATTATTAGACGCACGCTAGGTGGGAGAGAGGGTTGGTGTTCCTGCCTACCCCGACCAACCGCGAGCACTCTGTCAACCGTTACCCGCGCATGAGGAAAAAACAAGACACTTGATGGAACAATTCAGGTCCCCCCCATTCAAATTCAACATACTTGTAAGACCGCATATACGAATAAAGATATCTTTTTCTTACCCTCGCGCTCGATGTTGTTTTTCGTTTCAACGCCTCTGAGAAAATGAAAGTGTCCAGGCTCAGCTCCTGCCTGCGGCCGAAGACAGCAAGGATCTTCTCCCCGGAATACCATCAAGAACACCAAGCCACAGACAACATTGGTTCTCCGAGACTGCATTGCTAAGCCAGTGAAATGGCAGAGGTCGTACGTCTACCACAAAACAGGCCAACAGTCGAACCATCTACTTCCTAACATCGTCAATGGTACTATCTGAACCATTCGCTCATCACATGTGTGGCAAGATCCATCTCAAGAATTTATAGACAACTTCGGTTCTAACAAATGCCCGACGCACACTTTTCTCGCAAGCAAAAAGCCTTGTGATGGGCACTTGGCATCAGACAAGGGACTCAGGCCAACCAGACAGTCCAACTTCAACTCCAGTGTCAATATCACACACTGATATCTTGGACCACGCTACAACCAAGGCTATCGGGGCTGTGCCCTGGCTTCCTGAGGGCCTCTCAGACTGAACACAAAACGACTCTTTCAAAAGTCTTTGAGTCTTGAGCGGGGTTGCCAGCTATTCCAAGATTGGAAGGTCTTGGGTGGCAATATCTCGATTGTTGTGGGCATTCCTAATGCATTGCTTCCTCTCAGTCCACGCTTTCCATCCACTCGGCCCAGAGCGCTTCTTCGGTGTCTCAGCATGATCTCGAGCTGCTTGACAAATCTTCTTTGCCAAACCTTCTTGTATGATGCCAGCGCTCTTAAGCCCTTTGTTTATTGCATTTTCCATCTGCCCCACCGTCACTCTTGGCATGGCTGTGTGTTATCACAACTGCGTCGTGACTGGTATGATCTCAGCCAGCCCAAGCTGCTGGGCCGAAAACGGATGCAAGTTTACGCATTCCTTTTGAATGAACATATAGGTACAATTGCAATGAAGCTGGGATGATAAGTAAAGTGAAACCCATACGTTTAGATCTGTTCAACCCTGCCGGTCATCCTTTGATGAAGTGACTCAAGAAGTACCATAGGCACTATATGTTCGTCTTACCGGCCGCGATCAATGCTGGTCTTGGCAAGAGGCTCTCAAAAATTGTACGGCTTGGTAGAAGAAGCCCCCAAAAAATCTTCCGAAGCTGCCACATGGCTTCACTGACTCTGCCCGCTAGGCGTCGTCTTTGTGGGCGTGTCGCTGGGCTCCTTGCAAACACGGAAGTGCACAGACTGATGCAAAAAAAAGTTGATAGAAAACGGGCCACCCTTGAAGGCCGAGTCCATCAGTAACATACGCACACGCAAATCAAACTGAATGAGACAATCAAATGCACCAAAACTCTCCGATCACAAAACCATGACCAAAGCAATGCCCCAAACACACGTGGAAACAACTTTTCAATCTATGTCCGGCCGCATCCGTATTTTCTTGGGCATCCAACCCACACAACTGCTCCACAAAGCAAGGGCATCAAATTGACAGATAACAAACCAAACCAAACTCGCCCTCTCCTTCACATCGCTTCCCACTTTCTGGCTCTTAATGGGGCTCTCCTCGCAGTCGCCGGCGGAAAGCTTCATTCATGTATTTATCATATGCCTGTCTCTCTCTCTCTCTATATATATATCTCTCTCTCCATGGCTACACCTGACTACACATAAGCCTTGGTCTCTCTCTACACATATATCATATATATACATATATATGCGTGTAAATAAATTAAGCAATATTAAATTCACATACAAGTCAGCTACTATGCATATGTACACATCATCTAGTTCTCCATCTAGAACTAAATCCATAACTTCGCTCCACCTGCCGCTGTATCCATATTTATCTATGTGTCTACCTATTCGTCTAACCATCTGACTATCAATCTAAAAATGTATATATTTCTAGCTGCCTTGTCTTACCTTATCATAATTTTCTTGTCGCGTCTCGCTATCTACCGGCATATCTATCTATCTTTCTTCCTACCTCTCTATCTATCTATGTATCTATGTTTGTATCTATCTATACCTACCTACCTACCTACCTACCTATCTATCTATCTATCTATCTATCTATTCGATAGATACCTCTATCGATCTGTCTGTCTGTCTGTCTTTCATTGTCTCTCTGTCCCGTTGTCTCTTCTCTGTCTTTCCATCTAGCATGCGACAATTGATCTAAAGTAATCTTTGCTGACAACCCAATGCCCCAAAGCCATGGTGCACGCACTGTTAAAAGCATGTTTGGGGCATTCGTCATGTGGACCCGCCAAAAATTTCCCAGAAGGCTTTCCTTCGACGAAGGTGCACCTGGCTTTCACGCTTTTGGCCACGTGAGGGATCTGACTTGTCCAAGTTCGACAACTCCTCCTCGCACGCGGCAAGCTCTGCCTTCAAACCAGCTATCTGTTCTGCAAGCGCGGCGCGGCGCTTGTCGATGTATACCTGCTGAAACTGCATCTGCGCACTCTCTGGCTTGCCCTGCTGAATCAAAGCCAATGCGCAAGTGATCACACTGCACTTTGGCGTGAGCCGTGGTCCACCCAGAATTCCTTGCATACATGCCACATGCTGCAGAAAACCATGGTTTGGATTGTGCATGGATCCATCGATACAGCTCGAAAGGGGCCGAAATCAATGCCATAGAGTATAGAATGTCATTGTCCACATGAAACGTCTGACTGAAATCATGAACTGAGTGGCCGCCAAAGGGCTGATGTCTGTTAAGCAAAACAAGAAGCCATGCGGAAGATTATTGGCAGCAGCGCGCTCGATCTTGATGTCGCTTCCTTCATTGCCGCCAGCCAGCCGGGCTGCATACACGCACAAGTGCAAGTCCGAGAAGTAGCAATGCGGCTCATCCGGCAAGGACTTCACCTGTCAGTCAGATGGTAAGCATGTGTGATGCTTGGACAGTTTCTTCATAATCTGGTGCATGAACTGTGTCTCAACTCTTGCAAAATAGTTGAATTCAAGCTAGGTGTACATTGGACATAAACCGAAATCGTGCGCACCACTCACTTTTTTTTGAGACGGCGCTTATGCTGGTAGTGCACCCAGGGATTGCAGCCAAATGAACAGAACTTCACATTGCTGCGAGAAGGGGAATCACAAGTACAGTTTTTAAACTGAACCGAAAAAAGAATTGCTAACCCAAGCAAAACCTCAAACCACTGCCCACCCAATTTGGCGGCCAGCCTTGGAAACAATATTTTTGAGCAACATTTTCGTGGTGAGCTCGTGTACATCATGCGGACTGAAGAAGACCCATTTGCCTGCAAGCGGACATGCCTCAGCCGCAACATCGCCCTCTTCCGAAATCTTGACGCTGATAGTAGAAAAGGAGAGGGCCCCTTCGCACAAGATGCTGCGATCGAGTAGGCAGCAGAACTTGCAACCAGGCTTGAACTCCAACAGGTCTCGCTCGAACAACCGCTGCATGTCCACGTCCAGCTGAAGAATCGCAAACTCCTTTGACCCAAGCAAGTGAGCTTCAGCCCCATCCATCCGCCTCGCCATCATCCCTTTCGATGGGATGACAGGATCGCTGGTGGCGTGGCCAAGGGAGCGCCGCGTAGTCTTGAATCTCTGATAGACAGCCTTACGCAAAGAACCCAGATCATTGACAAACAATTACACTCGTTGAACCTTGCTTCAAGAAACCATGAACAAAACGGTTTTAATTTGGCGCCCCTTGCCTCAAGAGGAGACTCGTGTTATAAAAAACTTTCATATGGTAAGGCCAGAATCCGTGATTTAACAAAAAGTCAAAAAAGTCAACTGGAAAAGTCAAAGTCAAAAAAAGTCAAATTGAAAAGTCAAAACAAGTCAAAAAAATCAACCATAAAAATTCCAAAAAATCATAAAACAAACCAAAAAAGTCGAAAAAAAACCGTCAAAGAAACGAAAAAAGTCAAAAAAAAACCGTCAAAGAGTCGAAAACAGTCAAAAGAAAAGTCAAATTGAAAAGTCAAAAAAGTCAAAAAGGTAAAACAACGTCCAAAAAAGTCAAAAAAGTCGGATCTGGCAAATTGACTTTTTTGTTGACTTTCTGAAATTGGCTGATTTGACTTTTTTTTGACTGTGACTTTTGGGATTGACTTTTTATAACTTTTCACTTTTTTCGGATTTAGAAAACAGGCTCTTTCCAATGAACAGTTTTTTTAAATAAGGCTCGTGGAAATACAACCACTGAACATCGCCATGCTGCGCCGCGTATGACACATTGTCCATCCACTCTGACGTACAATCATTGGTTGTGGCTCACGAATTTCTTTACCGACATGTGGCTTCAATGCTTCAGAAATAGTGCTTGGCAAATCCACATGGAGAGAATCATGCAGGCTCCGTCTCCGAGATTCGCAGATGTCCCGGGTCTTCAAACTGGAAGAGCCAACCCACTCGCCTGGAATAGCTACTTCCAGAATGTCCTCCATTGAGGCGTGGCCAAGCAATCCATCATAGCACCGCCCCACTTCTTGGGCAGCCACATGCGTGGCCTGGATTTGTTGCACTGGCAGAGCTCTCTGGTTCAGTTGGTTGCTAGACACCCGAATTTTAGCTTTCTCATCCCTGCTACCCCAGGGGGTGGGGGGGGTCGGACCCCCAACAGAAAATGGATTATCCATTTTTGACCCTGATGATGCATTAGCAACGGTCTAGATCCAGTGATATTCAGTGTCGTCCATAGCACCAGCCTGCACTTACCCAACCTGTTTTGCACTTTCTGCATCATATTTTGCATCGTTTGGGTTGTGTTTTTGATCTTTTGGCGTCATCTTTTTGGTCTCTTTCGGGCTGCGTCCTGTTTCTGGTCGAGAACAAAAAAAGCATTGGATAGGGGTCCAGGTATCTGGCATTTCGAAGTGCAAAACAAGCGAGCGTTGGGTTGTATATCTTGTTACATCGAGCGTTAAGTCAAAGAAGCAGACCTTGATTTACATTGCGTGGACGCGTTGCCTAATACACTGCATGGACGCGTTGCTTACGCCCGCGGGGCGTAAGCGATGCGGACCCTCAGGGAGCTCCGAGCAGTGGGACCGCGTTGCCGTCCAAAAGGTCGCGTTGCTTACGCCCGCGGGGCGTAAGCGATGCTCCTTGTTTTTTTGATTTTTGGCTACATTCAAAGCAAGACCATCATATTCAATCATGTCAGCATGGTCAAGTGAATTCAGGCGGTTCACACGATCTTGGCACTTTTTTTTCTTTCCCTGTGTTTTAATCTACTGCCCAAGCGGAAAGCCATCAAAAGTCTTGAATCTGGTGGGCACCCTGGCATCTCCATGCTCAGACTTGTATTCAGTGAGCTTGCTGAAGCCTCTTTCCCATTCAACCGCGTCGCTTGTCAAAAATTCTCGGGGCCACGCGGAGATAAAACTGGAAACATGTTGGCTGTGTAAATGGAATATTAAAATGGAATTCCTAAAGGTACCCCCCCCTCGATCCTCCATTTTCGAGGAGGGGGGATGCTTTCTCAAGAATCTGGCACACAATTTTGGCAAGCGCGGTCTCGAGGAGATCCAAAGATGCCAGATACGCGACCTTCCTGGTAGGCAGAACAGACTGCGATTCATAACGTGAATCATCCAAATAAGTTTCCTTGCGCACGGCGCAAAAGGAATCAGTCAGTCAAAACAGGACGGAAAGCCTTGCACCCAGACGCATGCAATACGCTGCGCGCGTATGGGTGCGTTTCCTGTAAAAAGGGGAGTTCGAAGCAAACATCGGCAACGTCCGGGACTAAAAGAAAAACCTAAGAACTGTCATTCATGGGTCTTATATCATCCGTTTTCTTTCGTCTCATTCTAGTCCTCCGTCTTGTGTCTTCTGCCGCATTCCTCTTATATTTTTTTGCTTGGCTCCTCGTCGTCCTCCTCCTCAAAAACTTGTATGGCAAATCAAGATGCACAGACCTTGAAAAATG